CTTGGAAGGTGTCACCTTGCCAAGCAGCCTGCAGACTTTGACCTTTGGCGATGAGTTCAACCAGAGCTTGCAAGGTGTCACCTTGCCAAGCAGCCTGCAGACTTTGACCTTTGGCAAATACTTTGACAAGAGCTTGGAAGGTGTCACATTGCCAAGCAGCCTGCAGACTTTGACCTTTGGCGATCAGTTCAACCAGAGCTTGCAAGGTGTCACCTTGCCGCCTGCAAACTTTGACCTTTGGCCTTATCTTTAACAAGAGCTTGAAAGGTGTTATCTTACCAAGCAGCTTGCAGACTTTGACCTTTGGCTGGGAATTCAACCAGAGCTTGAAATGTGTGATCTTGCCAAGCAGCCTGCAGACTTTGACCTTCGACTACATGTTCAACCAGAGCTTGGAAGGTGTCACCTTGCCAAGCAGCCTGCAGACTTTGACCTTCTGCCGGAAGTTCAACCAGAGCTTGGAAGGTGTCACCTTGCCAAGCAGCCTGCAGACTTTGACCTTCGGCGAGGAGTTTAACCAGAGCTTGAAAGGTGTCACCTTGCCAAGCAGCCTGCAGACTTTGACCTTCGGCTACAACTTCAACCAGAGCTTGGACAGTGTCACCTTGCCAAGCAGCCTGCAGACGTTGACCTTTGGTCCCGCCTTTGACCCTCGCTTCTTGGACGGCATCACCTTGACAAGTAGCTTGCACGAGCTTCGCTGTGAGCTGTTTCATATTCACGTTCATTGCTGGGATTTGTAATGATGTACTCGCGGTTTCCTCACTCATGACTCCGTCACAGCTACGTCACTACCTTTTTGGGTGTGACTGACGATATTGGTGTGTAGTGTGCAGCCCAGCAATCCGCCTCCACTCGTGACATGAGCGACGATCCAAAAAAAGAGGGAATGATACCTCTGTTGTCGCAGATCCAGTCCCGGGTGTGTCGGAGCACCTGGACCTAGCTATATAAGGGGTTGCTGACCACGAAAGAAAAACACAGGACAGGAACTGCTGACAGGCATTTCATCTTTTTTTTTCATGGTTCAGGTACTGAAATGCCTGTCATCTGTTCTAAGGGCTTGATTGCATGGCACAGGAGCAAACTCATACCGAACACGTTGGGGTCCACCATGAACCGACAAGCACGGATGGAGGAATTTTCTCGGATGAATTCCCCTGACGTTGAGCTTTGATCTCAGCTTTCGGTAGCCTTCAGCAGTCGTGTAAATGGTAAAGGTTCCATTCAGCAGATTTCAGGTGTTTGACTGCGCCACTGACTAGACCTAATGTAGACTCTTGATTTATAACCCCCCATCTATGAGGAGGTTTTTCAATTCAAATGGGAGAGGTTATTAATCAAGGTTTGAAGCAGATTGAATGGATACAGAATCAAGATCTTCAGTAATGAATGGTTTAAATATGTTTAAATCAAGAGCCTACATTCCGAAATCCAGATTTCTTTGGATGTCTTTGGGTGCCACGCTGATCAGTCGGCGGCTTAGGTGGCAGGAGCCGAGCCGCCCGGAGCCCTTCCCATCTCCGGCCCGATCACCCCAAAGGCGGCGAGACAACGTGGGATCTGAGAAGTGAGACATGGGTTTTGCGGAGAAAGGGTGATGTTATGTGATGTTCATTGTATGTATTGTTCATTTGCACGAGGTTTCATCATCATCATCATCATCATCATCATCATCATCATCATCATCATC